CTATCACCTCATCTGATTCTCTCTTCTTTTAGTTTAAAACCATTCCTATTACTATGTGCCCATGTAAAAAGTCACTATCCCTCTTTTTCATAAGCCTTTGAGCAGGGGAAGGGGCTTTAAAGTCTCCCTGGAGCCTTCCCTTCTCTAGGCTGAACACCCCCAGCACTCTCAGCCTGTGTCCATTCAGGGATGCTGGAAAGGAGATGCACTGCCGGAGCAGCTTTATGTGAGAGCCATGCGTGTGCTGATCTCCAGAGAGCAGGTCTTTCTCTCCCACTGTCAGTTGCATCTGCTTTGTGCACAGAGCCGTGAGGTCGAGGAGGTTGTATGAAAAGATAAAGCCCTGAGTCTTGGAGAAGAGCTGTGAGCTGTGCAAGCACATTAGGAGGGCTTGCAGCACCTCTCCATCCTTCCCCAGCTGCCAGCTGTGGTCCTGGCGCTGCAGAAGTCCAGCAGTGAGTGTCTCAGGCCTAGGATGGGGCAGGGACTGTGCCCTCCCTGTGTCATTGGTGTGACAGAAGCATTTCAAGGAGGAGGGTGGGATGCTCCCAGCGTGTCCTACATAGATATCAGGTAATAGCAGAGCTGGTGACAGGGCTTGAAACGTCCTGATTTCTCGCTGTTAAAGCAGTTACCTAAATAATAACCAGATAATCCCAAGCATGAGGCCTCCAGCCCAGGAAATTGGCATTAATCTACTGGGAGCTGAGCACACGTGTAGAGAGGCTCCTTCCTGCTGCCCTGTGGCCTCGGTGGCTGTCCCTCACCTGGCACCTTTCTTTAGTAACACGCCTTCTGCCAGTGATCCAATTAATGCTGGCTATAAGTAGGAAAGCCTCTATAAATTCTGGGAATTCAAAAGACACCTGCTCTTGTACAAGTGTGCCAGAATAACTAACAGCCTAATCGCTGGCTTGCCCCTCCTCAGGAGGCTTTGGGGGTTTATTTCATAGCAGGGATGTTGCAAGAGTCTGCTGGCTTCGGTTTTGATTTTATTGTAGATTGTTTAAAATGAATGACTTGCTTGAGATTTCGGATCTTTCTGCTGAGTTTTAGGTTTGGGAGCTGGTGTGGCAGAAGCATCCAGGCTGCCCGGCTGTCTCTTGATGTGCAAGGTGGGGTCTGGCTTGGGTGGTGTATTCAGGATGAAAATAAACTAAATATTCAGGGTCTGAATCCCAAAACAAGTTTAATTTGGACTGAAAGTCCCCTGGAGAAGAAATCTGTTGATGAAGCATTACTGCTCACCATTTTCTGGATAGAAGCCAGAGCGTGATACGGTCTGAGTCCCACAGAGATTCCTGTAACCTGCAAAGCAACTCATGTTCCTGTGTTCCTTTTTTCCCCTCCCATTTCTTCATTTTTAATGTTGCTTGGAAGTGCTGTTGGCAGGGCTCTCTGTGTCTGTATTTATTTGCTGACTCCTGGACATTGTCCACATCCCTTACAGGCTGCTGGATGCTCCGTGATGTGATTTGGAAATCGAGATGTGCCTTGCAAGCTGTGAGGGAGGGAGTGGCTTAGAAAAGCTCAGGTGTGGTAGTGTTGTTGCTAAATGCTGGTGTTTTAAGTAATTTGGATGTTAAGAGTACTGGTAAATCCCTGAGTGGGAGGAAGCTGTTGAAGGTAGGCTGAGACTGAACTCATGCTGATGCCACAGCTGGCTCCTGAGTGATCCCTTGCAGGCTGGGATCCTCTCTGCTCTGTGTTTGCAAAATGGTTTGAGTGAAGCTGTGCTGGCTCCAGTGTAGGAAGGGCTGAGTTATGCCATCCACACCCTCCAAGTTACCTTTGTTTGCTTGTCTTTAATGAGAGATTATAAGAGATTATCTTATCCCTTATTACCTGTTGCTCAGGTTTTCGGTTTGTTGGAAGTCTAATTAGCCTTCCTGATGGGAATTATTTTTTTTCTATTTCATCTATGTGCTGGAGTTCCTCTTAGCATCTTTTTTTGGCTTGGTGCCATGGCACCCACAGTGTTATCCAAGGTTTTGCTGGATGGGTGCTTTGTGAAACAAATGGGGTTTGTGTGGCAAACAAAATAAACAGTGGGTTGTTCTAACAAGAAGTGAGCAGGCATTGCCACAGGGTGGCTGAGGAGACTATTGGGTAAGGCCAAAAATAGTTCTCTGCTTGTATTGTTCTGCTCAAGTGCCTGGACATCTTGATGAGATACTTTATGGAAATCCTGTGCTAAAACTTCTCCTGGCAGAAGTACATATCCCTATTAAAAATTGTACATCCCAATAGCAACATGAAGCTATAAAACACGACTTCCCCCAGTGCAGAGAAAGGCTCCCTGCCTTGGTGGGGACAGCCTTCCCAGATGATGCTCTGCTTTGCTGACTGCTCAGAAAACAACGCCTGGAGTTGACAGGCTGGCTGAGGACATTTCCATCCCCAAATAAAGAAGGGGCTAAATGTCTTTTCTGTGCCTTGGCACAAGTCCTTGCACAGCTCAGTGCATCACTGCACCTCTTAGGTAGGAGCTGCTGGGGTGGTAGGCACCTGCAGGGATTGCCCGCTTGATTTGATAGGGTTTGGGCTCCTGGGGAGAAAGCAGAGCTGTAGGGTCACTCAGAAACATGGTCGTGGATCTGGGACCTCGGGAGATAATCCAATCCAACCCCTGATCGAGCAGAGTCAGATGTAGCAGGTTTTGTCATCACAGAGTTCATTGGGTTGGAAGGGACATTAAAGATCACCTAGTTCCAACCCCCCTGCCATGGGCAGAGATGCCACCTACTAGGTGAGAAGGCAGGGGGCTGTGGGAGCAATGGGAAAATGCCACCTTTCATCCTGGCAGATGGATGCTCCCTGTTCTTCCAGCCTAGCTGCTCAAATAATATCCGGTGTCTTTAGCAAATTTGTGTGCCTGATGTCTTTTACAGTGGCACTGCCTGGTTTGAACCATGGCTTACATGGTCAGGATGTTTACTAAGGTAAAAAACTCTGCCTGTCTTCCCATTCCCCACTGCTTCTCTTCCTCCCCATTCCCAGGCAGGACACTGGGTGTGAGGGGATGCCACAACAATGGGCACTTTACCCTGGGAAGGTACAAGGAGACAGTTTGGTGCTGCAGTAGCTAATGCTGCCTGGCCTCTCCCCCCTCTCAGCAGTAACAACAACCCCTACGCTTCCTTCGGAGCCACGCTGGCGCGGGATGAGGAGCAGAACCTGTGGAGCACCCCGCACGACGTGACCCACACAGAGGCAGATGATGACAGGGTGCTGTACAACATGATCGTGGTCAGGAACCAGCTGGACAAAGACTCGGAGGTGAGGCAGTGCTGGCTCTCGCGCTGGGGTTCACCGCGGACCAAGGCTCATCACATGCTTGGCCAGTGCCCCTGTCTAAGCACCCATTAAGCTGCTGTAAAGACCCCAAAGTCCCCCAATGTGGCTTATGTAGGCATCAGGATTTCCCATCTGTTCCTTCACCCTCCAGATTTTATCTGACATCTGGTGTGGATGGATCTGTGGCCATCTCATCCTTGGGAAGCTTGGGGGTGTCTGTGGCACCTGAGCCAGGAAGAGCCACCCTGAGCTGGGATGCACAGTGCCTTGCAAGCACCTTCCCCCACAAACATGCACTGGTGGCACTGAGACTCCCAGCCAAATTTCCTAGCTCCACAGGCTGCTTTTTATGTCTGATATCGCCCTGGTTTGTTCTCTCTCTGGCCAGACTGGCGTTAGCCCTGCCTACAGTGGCATTTGCCCGGCAATGGCAGCGCCTGGAGCTAAGCTGCTGCTCCGGTGGTGCATCAAGTTAAATACTTCTCCAGTGTGTTGTACGGCAATTATCGGGAAGCAGAGAACTGGCACAGCTCTTAGCATAAAGGGAAAAATCATTGCTGTTACATAAAGGCTCTTTGCAGCCCTGATTTCCTTCGCTAAGGCACTTCAGCACAAAGAAGATTTCAGCGGCCTGATTAGGAGCAGGCTGTAGCAAACACTGGCATATTTTCCCCCTCTCTGATTGCTTTTATGACTCCAGAATGCTTGCAGAAAAGTGTGGAGGCCTCACGTTTCATTTCAACATGATCCCACTTCATCCAGGAATCTGCCAGACTGTAACTGTTCCTCCTGGGATAGTCCCCTTGAACCAAACGCTCACTCAGCTTTCACAAGAAGCTTATATTCCAAAGGTACAGCTGAGATCAAAATTACAATTTTTGAAAATTAAATGAGATCATGAAATCGTTGTATACAGTTGGACAGAATCCCCATTTAATGTGGGGTTTAGTTTTTTTTTGGTGGGTTTGATTTAATCTTAGTGCTTACAATAGATGGTTTTGTAACAATGTTTTCACAGCAGCATGTGACTGTTACGGCTCTAACTGAAGATATCCTCTTCTTTCCCCACTGCTGTTCTCTCTTCCCTGCTTGTCTTAGAGAAAACAGGGAGCTTCATCCATCCCAAACTGGCTGAAGGAAACAAGGACAACTCTGGTTAGCGAGCTGCACCCGGGCTGCCTTGTTGAAGAGCTGGATGTACTTCAGGGCAGTACTGAAGCTCCTGACTTCAGCTCACACCCATTCAAACAGCCTTCTAGCTTGACTTAGGGCTTGATTTAGGGCTTGATGACAAAGCCTCCTAAAAACTGATATTTGTAAAATGGTATCATAAGTAGGTGGGCTGGTAAAAAGATGTAACCCTGGGCATGGGCACATTGTGTGTCAGCCTTATTCAGGAGGCAGAGGAGAGCACCAGTTACAGGTGGGCAGGAGAGCGCTCCTGCACCTGGCTGTCCTAAATCCAGTGTGCCTGCCTGTCCTAAATCCAGCCCTTTCTCCCTGCCTGCAGCGTATCCGTAGGGTTTGTAGCGGGTCTGAGCAGTTGCCATGCCTGCCAGGGAAAAAGGAAAGCCCAAAATGCATGAGGCTTCCTCTCCACAACAAATGTAGGAGCACGTACCCTGTGTTCTTTACGCAGTGCAATTAATAAAAAGCCTGAGGGGTACAACATCAGGTGAACTTTGAAGAAAACCAACACACAATGACTTGATTTGAACTATGGCACAGTGCCCTTTGCAGCTGGGGATTGCCATCTGCTCTGCTGGCTCCCTTTTACAGCTAGGGAAACTGAGGCACCACATATAAGTCCAGTAAACTGTTGCAGTTTCCAGCTGCAACTTTTTCTGGATGGCAGGACAGGAAGGGACTTGGCCAGCAAAGCCAACATTCCTGCGTTCGGTCCCAGGTGCCAAAACGTCTCCTTACTCCAGCAAGCACTTTAAAACTAGGCCAGATTGTGGTGCCCTCCCCTTCTAATGAGACTTCAGCTCTGAGAGAAAGAAAAAAAGTCTAATTGCAGAGCAGCACTGGGCTGCAAAAGCCATAATCTGCTTTGGGAGCTGCTCTGCTCCCAAAGTCCTCAGGGAGAGTGTGTGGATGCTGCAGGACAGAGGACGAAGGAACAGTTTCTTTGTGCAGTGCACAAGTGTTACAAAACCAGAGGTCCTTTTCTTGTTGTGGCTAAAATTGGCCTGAAAGGAGAACTACCCCTATATTTCTACTCCTTCATTTTAACAAGAAATGTTGGCGTGCAGTGCATTCACTGTATTCTTTGCCATTCCTCACCTTTATCTTAGGGATTTCCTAGTGTAGGACTTTGGAAAGATCCCAAAGAGCAGGTCACTCCACATCGTGTAGCATGATGTGTAGCACACATCATGTGTGCTTTATCTGTGTGGCACCACAGTAACATGTCTTTCTTAATCTGGCACACTCACTTCTGCTTTCCAGGCTATTTTCTGTTTCTGAAATGGTTGCTCACTTAGTGACAAGGTGTTGGAAACGAGGACTGGAGAAGCAGTGGGCCAGGATGCAGTGGGAACATGGTCACAGTGCTGGAGGTGGGTGGACACAGTCCAGGACAGCTCTTTCCTGGCCCAGGCACCTCCATGTCATGGATCACTGTAAATAAATAAAGCAAGCTGTGTATGCAAAGGGCCAGGCACTCTGATGCCGAGTGCAGCCTGCAGCTCAGTGAATTTTCTGCCTGTTAGATCACTTGTGGTGGGGCTGTCAGCATGTCATGGCACTGGTGTCCTCCCTTGGCATCAGTTCTATGTCCCCACCATGGGGCTGGACCCACAGCTGATCTATGCAGAGCTGTTTCTTCCCCCTGCTCCTTCTGGCATCTCTGCTCTAGGAAATTTGGCAGCTGCAGCCCAAAGTCGTTGTGACCTTAGCTTATATAAAGATGGCAGGGCTGTTCCAGCCTTCTCCTCACTGAACCAGGGCAGGAAGCTCTTCAAAGCAAGCACCATGACATCCCGGGTGTACCCTGTTTCACACACACTGGCTCATCCTGCTTGGTGCTGTGTGCTGGGAGCAACAGCTCATGGACACTGGCCATGCTGGAGCCTGCTGGAGCACCCGGTGGTTGCCAAACACACATGCAATAGATAAATGAGGCAAGATTTGCTGGAGCCTCCTAAAATAGGGTTGGGCTCGGTGATCTTTGAGGTCTCTTCCAATCAGGTTGATTCTATGATTCTATGAAAATCATAAGGATAGAGCAACTTGCAGGTTCCCATTTCTTTCTGCTTGAGGCAGATGAGCATGAGGTGCTTGGATGCGCTTTTGGAAGCAAAGGGAGGATGTGTGCTGAGAAAACCAGAAAAGCCATGGTTGAAGGTCTGGCTTAAGGGTGCTGGTCAAGCTGATGGAGCCTTTGGACATCAGAGCTGTAGTCAAAGATTTTGAAGGCTAGAGTCAATGTTTCAAACAGGGGAAAAACTTTTCTTCCCCCTACTCCTACTCTGCAGCATTTTTGAGCCTATGTAAAGTAAATCCCAAATCTGGAGGCGAAATGAGCAGCAGGAGCTGCACTGGGCTTCTTGCTGGGCCTGTGTGTATGATGTGGCAGATAGCTCCCTCCATGAGGTCCAGTTTGTGGTGATCTTGGTGCCTCCATGTCCGCTGGTGGATTGTGTGGAGTTAGCCAGTTGTGGGCAGAGAACCTGAGCTGTGCATCGATACCCCCTTCGGAGAAGGGACCAGGTTTGGGGCAGCTGTGCCGCAAGTCTGTGAACAGAAACTAAAGGTGGGATTTTGCATTATGACTGCTATTATGGCTTGCTGTAAATGTGGTGTCTTTCTCTTCTTTTGGCTTCTTCCCTTGGGAAGGATGGGATCATAAACCTCACTAGCAAAGGCAATTCCTCAGCCTGCATCCCTGCTACAGAGCGGTGTTGGCAGGATTCTCCTGAAAAACCCATTAATGAGCTGACAAGGCCTATTCTTCTTCTCCCTCCTGCTCTCCTACAGGATTATTCTTTTTTGAACAGGTTACAGGGAAGGTCAGTGTTGTGACAGGCTGTTGCTGGGGCATAGAGAGGTGATGGGATTTATCAGGGCTGGGGATGCTGATTGAGGAGCCCAGAACCGAACCTCTTAATCCCTGCATGCCTCTCTTAAAATGAATCCAATTTAGGCTTGTTCTAAGCTGAGATGTCTGTCAATGGATCTACAGTTTGTATTTGCTCAACTACTTCCAGTGGAGCCAGAGTGGGAGCATCCCTGGATGCAGCATGGTACCTGCCTGGACGGATGTTTTGCAGTCTTTCCCTGAGAATTCTGGTTTGACCTCATTTCCAAAATAACTCTTGAACAGAATGGTGACACCAATTGTTTTTAAGGGAATGAAGGAAATGGCATTGGTATAGGATTGCTTTGGCAACATGAAGAAAGCTCCCAACTAACTGGAAAATTCTCATCTGATCAGGGATGAGAAGTTGGACAGTGTTGCTTGTTCTCTTGGCACATTTTTTTTCCAGAGCTCTGAGTTATGTACCTGCCTGGCTTACTTCCTGCCATTTGGCATTTGCAGATTTAGTGTATCACACTAGAGAGTCTAGGGAAATTTTCCAGGTAAATATTTGAAGGGCTGAGCACTCAGAGAAGAGAGGCAGTGGAGTTTCCCTGGGATATTCTTGACTCATGCATGCATGGTTATCTTAAGCCCCCACTGGTATATTTGTGCCCTGCTCTGTAGGTTTAAAAGGGTGAAACTGGTTGCCAAAAACAGAGCTGGGAACTGCAACCTGCTTTGGTCTCCTGTGCTTAATTCAGAGTTTGGCAAAGGATTGCTTTTGAATGCATCACTGGGATGTCCCAGACCCATAGAAACACTGTGAGGTTTGGGAAAGACCAGTCTCTGCTGTACTTTCCCAGTACTGTGTGCAAGAAGCCTCCTCCCCACTCCAGAAGTTAGATGGAACTTTGCAAGTGGCAGGACAGGTGGTGCACAGAAAATGCAAAATGAAGTGAAGTTTTGGGAGAGTGCTGCTTGTCCCATGCCTGCACACAAGCTTGGACACCTCACTGAAAGAGGTGTCAGGGGAAGCCAGTCCGGAATGTGGCCCGGAGGGCAGCCCTCTCTGGCCTCACGCTGCCCAGGGCTGCCCAAGGACCACTACGTCCTGCATCTTGCCAGTGTCCTGGAATGCCACAGCGAGGGCTGAGGGAGAGGGGTCTGGTGTGGAGCCGTGGCTGCCTACCCCGGGGCTGCCTCGGCCTCGTGATGCTGCCTGGCTCCCTGCGAGATGCTCCCTCCACAGATCACGTCTTGGTGACTCACCAAAGGATGTGTGAGGGGAACACCCTCCCCAAAGCTTCTCTGATGTTGCCCATGCCTATGCACAGGCAAGACAAGCTTTGCTCATCCTCAGCCGTGTAGTTCAAGGATGATGCTTTTTAGAGTAACTTTGGGGATGGAAAGTTACTCTTACTTCCTCATGAAGGCAACACACGGGACAGACCACAGCAGTTAGGATGTCTCTGCTACATGGAATCATGTGGGAAAACCCAGTGATTTCTGAGGCTGATGGAGAGTAGGGCACGAGTCCCTTTGAGACCTCACTCCATAGCTGCCCAACCTTATCCTGGTGATCTCTACTTCTCTATTTGCTTTTCCATGACTGGCACCACTTGCAGCGTCTTCTTGACAGATTTCTCTGTAGAATACAAATACATTCAGCTCCATCTTCCGGCAAAAGAAATCCCCCTCGAACAAGAGGTGTCCCCCAGGCACCATTGTTAAGCATAATTTTCTGTACCAAAGCCATTCCTTTGCACACTCCCCTGATTCTTCACTGACAGGACACTGTTAGAGCTCCCCTAGGACTGAAAATCCACTGTTCACTTACATAGCACAACTCAGTGACTACGACGTACAAGAAAGCCATAACCTAGATTTCCTTAAAACAAAAATAGACAAGGGAAAACACACTGCTGTTAATCCAGGGAAAATCAGGAGCAGCTTCCCTGCATGCTAAGCACTGCTCTTTGCATAGCTTAGTCTGACTCACTACCATGGGGGTAAATCCCCACGGCCCTGAAAGCTGCTGCCAGGCACCACCAGCAAACCACATTTCGGGGAGCGGAGCATCTTTCCCACCCCTCAGCTCACTAATTCAGCAGTGTGAAGCACAACTGGGATCACAGTGGCTGTCTGGATCGATTGTCTGCATTAAAGGCCTTGTTTTTCTCTGTGGGAGGGCACAGACATGCAGCTAATTTCCCCACCAGTGTGCCCAGACTGGTTTAGTCTCTTTTCTGCTTGTACCATGGGGTCATGAGAGGGCTGAGATGTTTCCAAGGAATTCCTGCCAGCGGGGACCAAGGCATCATGCAGCCTTTTAGTCTTTTTCTGAAAACTTTCAAGTCCTCAATAAACTTCCCACAAAGCCTCAACACAATAAGCCTCCTCTTTTCTTTTGCACTGAGAGGAGCTCAGTTCCTAGCTACACGCTGGTATCATGGGAGAGGAGAGTCTTGACCCTGCTTCGTTTCTCTGGTGAAGGGATGAAGAGGCATCCTAGTGCCTTGTGCTGGCAGCCAGGTGCCCTCCTGTGCAAACATTAAAGCTGTTTTCAAGTGCCGTGGCAGTCAAGAGGGAAATGTGCCTCTGGCTTGCGGTGAGCAGCAGTGCAGAGCTAAAACGGAAGGGGATTTTGCTTTCTGGGAGCGAGCAGCTGCAGGCAGAGCTGGTTTCCCCTGCTCTCCTGACCTGAAGTCACCAGTGTCTTAACCCTGCCAGCTGCTTTTTCCGAAGTGTAATCTCCAAGGGCTTCCTGCAGCTATTGCTGATCAACAAGAAACCGAGCTTGGCTTTTAATTCTCTGCAGTGGTGGCATGCTGGCCAGGTTCAGGAAATAAAACAACTAAGGAATCTCCAACTCTTTATGGAATCAAATCAACTCCTTAAGGCACGAGGCAGCAGAATACAGTGGGACTTCTAGCACACAGCTGACCTTCGTGGGTACTGTTTATCTGCTCTGAACCCAGGGTGTCATGTAGGAAAATCTCAGGGCGATGGCACAGATTAACACCTGTTTAGTCTACAAGAGTCCATCTAGGTAATCTGTAGCTGGGAAATGAGATTAATTAAGGTCGTTAGTGCAAGGAAATTATCAGAGTGATGTTGTGATGTTGGGCCACTTCTAAAAATGCACCCTTTGCAGTGTGTGCGTTGATTAAACTTGGTGAGGAAAAGGGCTCCTGGTTTTCTTGAAGAGTACATGCTTTTCCACAGGAATGCATACTTATGGAGTCATAGAATTGTTTGAGTTGGAAAAACCCTCTAAGAGTGAGTCCAGCCATTAACCCAGCACTGCCAAGCCTACCACTAAACTTGTGCAGATGTGTTTAAATGTGCTGGTGTGACTTTAATAAATAACCTCAAGCCCTTGCCTCTTGGACAGTGTCCCATTAAGCAGCTCTAAAGCTGGAGGTCCAGTGGAAGGATTTCAGCTGTACAGTGAAGTGAAGCATTAACTGCAGCAACTGGCAGCCACTACAAGTTACTATGTCAGATGACTCCAGTTCAGCCCTTAACCATCCACGTGCATCTCTGTACTCTTTAAAAACAATCTATTTTTCTTGTTTTCCAGTACTTTTGGACACCTGCCTGCTCCAGTTCAGTGCCAAACAGAGGGCTGAGCAGTTTGCAGAGGCCCCTGTGTGTGTGACCACACTAAGAGGAGTAACTTTTTTCCAAACTTCTAGTTTCCCATGGGCTGTAAGATGTGCCATGCCAGTTTAACTACAAGGATATGAAAACAGTGCTTCAATGGCTTACAGAAAGCATTTATTAATACATGGCTGTGGTTTCCCAGGCTGTAAAAGCCAAAAAAGGTATTCTCACAGCCTAAGATACTAGCTGGGGCGTCAAAGTTTGGAGTAAAGGGCTCTGAACCAAAGAGACTGAAGTTTCTCAGAAGAGCTACACTTGGAAGTTCATGTTGTTCTCCAGCCTAGGACGGAGTTACAATTTTCAGCACAGAGCTGGAATTATGTTCTCCATGTCTGACTGAGGAGACCACTTTGGTCTAAATCCTGTAATTTCAGAAACTGTTTTGAACAGAGAAGACTGTGAGATGCATTACCAAATGTCAAGCTAAATATTCTATGCTGGTCAATCCAGTATCTTCTAACAACAGCCTGGCCATCAACCTTCATACCTACCATTTCATACCTCAGTGTCTACATCAACAATGCAACTCCTGCTCTGTTCCTAAAACCTGAAATTCCTAGAAAAGCAGCAGAGACCACCCTGCATGCAAATGACTGAGTGTCTCTTATCCCTTTGCTTTGCAGGAATGGCAAAAGCTCAACTATGATATTTATACCTTACGGCAGACCCGAAAAGAAGTGAGAAGCAGATGGAAACACATTTTGGAGGATTTAGGTAAGCTAGAGGACAAAAGGATGTAATTTCTGTGGTACCTAATGAGAGGTCCCACAATGGTTGAGGATGGGAACAGCTCCACAAAATCATGCTGGTAGAGGGGAAACGGAGGAAAAACAAAAGGAGGTTGCTGAGCGATGCCATCAATTATTCCACAGGGCAGCTGCGAATTTGTGGGAGGCTCCCCAGGGCTCAGGCACAGCTGGGAGGAGATGGGGACACTGTCTACAGGCATGTCAAAAAGCCCACGAACCATGATCACCTTTCAAGCCCATAGTAGCATGCACAGTCATCCATTTCAAGCTTCCTCGTGGAAACTTAGCAGTGGGAGTTCACCCTAGGTTTTTTCCTAAACAAGATAAGCAGGAAGGAATGAATATTCCTTTTAGATGTGAACACAGATACATCTATTTTGCTTCTTTAACCCATGGCAGATGATCAGAGCTAAACTACCCAGTTTGTTTGCTCCCAAGTGAGTTTGAAGTATTGCTTCACAGAGGCCCTCCTACTCCTGCTGTTCCCAAACCTGCAGTGAGCTGCATCTGCCAGTCCTGCGGAGAAGGCAGCGGTGGGTGTGACAGGGCTTTTCCAATTGCATGGCACACAGCATGTGACACTTGGGATGTGCTGTACCAGCACATCAGCTGGGTGACTTGTACCATGCTCTGGAGGTGGTTGGCAGCTGATGAGAGGACGATGTGTGAGTTGAGCACACTTGTGGGGCTGTTCAAGGATATCATCACTGGGAGCCAGAGATGGGTATCTTGTCTGCTCCTGCCCTACCTGTCATTCTGGCATCTGGGTGGGAGGAACACGACAAATTCATAACTAGGTATCAGAGTTCATCTTCACCCAGGTGCTCACACAGCCTGTACACACCAAACACAGCAGGGATCACTTGACATCCTTCCATCTGTTACTGCGTGTTGACAAAGGCTCTCCCATATCTCCTTCATGTCTGCCATGGCTCTGGAGCTGTTTTACAAAGGGTGGGGAAGCACAAGGCCAGAGATCCCTTGACCTTAGCAAAGTTGTATGTACAGCCAGATGTGAAACCTGCTATCTTTTCACAGAATCACACAGAATTAATCAGGTTGGAAAAGATCTCTGAGATCATCAAGTGCTATTACCTAACACCGTCATGTCAACTAGACCATGGCACTGAGTGCCACGTCCAGCAACAGTGTCCACCACCTCTCTGGGCAGTCCATTCCAGTGTCTAATCACCTTATCTGTGAAGAAATTCTACCTAATGTTCAACTTAAACCTCCCCTGGTGCAGCTTGAGATTGTGTCCTCTTGTCCTATTACTTGGTGCTTACCTCTTGTTACCTAGATTTTGCTCTAACCATAAGACCACCAGTCTCACCCCATAAGTGTTTTCATGTGAGATGCATCTCCCTGGAGCTGAATGAAGAGTTAACGGTAGCCATTACAGTTAAAGGTCCCTGCATTCATTCTCCTCCCACTTTCCTTCCCTGGATACCCTTCCTATAACCAATGCCGACTGCTACAGGAACAATTAGCCACGTGTTCATTACTGGCACAGGTTTTATCACCATTACCTCCCAACAACATGTAGGTGTAGTCACTGGGGTGCTCAGGAAGCCCCACCAGCCCTGAAAGCTCTGGCAGCATGAGGGACATTGAAGAGCTGAATCAGTACCCTGGGTGTGCGTGTTCATACACCTTGTCTCAGAAAAACTAGCAGTGAACTTGCTCTGAATGCTCTTGTGGGTTTTTTCATTCATCACCAGCAAGTTTATACCTGCCTGAAGTGCAGGCACAGAGCTTGCCTAGGGGGAAATACCAGTTTGTTTTAGCAAGTAGGGAACACAGCAGCCCAAGGTGGAGGGGGAATAAGGAACCTTGCAAGAGCCTGGAGGACTCAGGGATGACCCTGCTTGCATCTTTGACTTGTTTCTGTAACACACCTTTTTCTAGGTTTCCAGAAGGAAGCAGACTCTCTCTTGTCCGTGACCAAACTCAGCATCATCAGTGACTCTCAGAACATGGCCAAAGCCCGGGATATCTTGTTAAGGCTGTCCGAAGAGACAAACATCTTCCCGACCAGCTGGGAGCTTTCCGAGCGCTACCTCTTTGTGGTGGTGAGTAGCTCTGAGCTCTGCCTTTCCTTCCTCTCGTCCTCAGCTCTGCAAATGAGCTCACATGAAGGGAAGCAGGTAGGTGAACTGCACTGGAGGATGCTCAGATACATGCTGGCATCTGGCACATCCCCATCAGGTGTTGCACTTTTAGCTCGGTGATTTGCTTCCTTGGAAATGTCAGTGCTATGGCACCATGAACATGTAGAACCATGCAACTGTGTGCTCTTGCAGCCTGTTAATGAACTGGGCAGTGATTAGGCCTTGCTTAACCTGAGAGTGGCTGTGGAGGGAGGACCCTGACCAGGGAGCTGCCTGCAGCAGCCCACAGTGACCATAAAACCCCATTGCTTTGGCAGGATCGGCTCATAGCTCTGGACGCTGCGGATGAGTTCTTCAAGATGGCCAGCATGGTGTATCCGAAGAGACCCAGCGGGGAGAGGGCGGACGACAGCCAGAAGGCCCTGCAGTGCATCTCTGTTGTGGTGCCCTGAGGAATGTGCCTCGCTGGCGTGAGATGGACAGTGGGTTTCCTTCACTCCGGGACTGGACTCCTCTGCCAAGGGATCAGCACAAGTAGTGCCGCTCCTTGTTTTCCTGCAGAGAAGCAAGTGAGCTGGCTGGAGCAGAGCAAGGTGGTCAGCGAGCTGTGCCCTACCGTGAGGGCACGGAAAGGCAGATGCTGGCCCCAAGGTCCTCCCAAGAAGAAGGGAACAAGAACTGCCGTAGAGTAGCCCCAGAGGGAGACCACTAGCCAAGTAGTGTATGTAATAGGCATGGGGGGAGTCTGCCACACAAAACATTGCTACCAGTAACTGCAGAAGTTGAGACGCCTCTAGTCCCAAGCGCTGCGAGGAGAGCCACTTTTCCACCTTCCACTGGTACCTGTCGCTGTCCCCCCTCCCTCGACCCTGCTAGCCAGGAGGACCAGCAAGAGAGGAAAAATACCTCAGTTGTCTACAACTCTGTGATGTGTCTCTGTGCACTGGTCCTCTTCCTCACCTCCAGCTCATGGCAGCCCCGCCAGGCAGGTCCCAGGTGGTTTGGCAAAGAGGCAGGAGCAGCACACAGCTGGGAGAGGAATTAATGCCAGGCAGAAAAGCTTTGGAGCAGTGTCACAATTGGGTGCTCTATCCCCAGCCATTAGTGGTTTGAGGGTGTTTGTGTCAGAAGGTGCTGAACCTGACATCTTCAAAGAAGGTAGAGTTTACGAAGCTGCCAAGGTCAGAGCTGCTGAGAAGTTTGGCTCCTGTAATATCCTCAGATTGATTGCCTAGCATCTCAATTACTTTCTGAAAGTTTTGGTCTTAATTGCCTAAAAGATCCCCACCATAAAGCTGCATGTACTGTCAATATAAAAATCCTCATTACCAGCAGGGATGTTATAATGAGCATCCTTTATATCTTGGGGTTTTGTCTGATAACGAGCAATAATTTTAAAACACTGGATTTGATCATTGAAAAACAAGTGGAAGTTCTTCACTGATTAACACCCATGCTGCTAATTGGCCAGCTGAAAATGCTGGTTACACAGGACCTCTCTAAGTAAGCAAACCAGAGCTTTTATTTGTTTATACCTACAGTGTTTGAAAAAAAAATTAAAATATTTATGAATTGTTTCTGTTTGTCATTCTTTCTGGGAAGCATTTTTGTCAGGTCAGAACACCAGTGAAAACTGAGTTTAATTAAAAACCATTACAAAACCAGTCTTTCTTACTCTCTCTGTAACCCTATTCAGGGAACAAATTTACCTTAATTGCTGAGAGCAAAAGGGTTGAGATATTTGTAGAGCCTCTTCAACCTGTTCTCCACACACTTTAAATTGCCTGTTGACTTACAAGAGTTAGGTCATCTGCCAGCCTAAGACCAAAGTCTCTGCAGGAGATGATGTGGGATCAAATACAATTTCAGTGGGATTTGGCATTAGATGCCTATTTCCTACTGATTTATTCTTTTCTAGCAGAAGTTCAGCTGCACTTTGGAAAAACTCCCATGTTTTGATAGCAAATAAACTTTGGTGCCTGACAAATTCAGGGTTTGATTTGAGCAAATCATTGCAGAATGGAGAGATCCAGCACTCTGAGGAACAATGTGCCAAAGTACATGATGTTACTCAAAAGTCAGTTATCACTTTTCAGTACTACATGTTATTTAAGACCACCTGATGAGTTCCAAAATCTCAGGGGTATAGAAGAGAGATCTTGTTAGCTCTGCTTGTTTTGGCGACAGAGGTCGACACTAACCTTTGCAGAGCCACCCCTTGCTGTCACTTGTAGCTATGAAACCAGTTCTGGTGTCATCAAAATGCATTTTGTTGTGACTTAACAGGACAAACTGCCCAAAAGAGACAGTAATCGGTATCTATGAATGAGTTTAGCTACCAAAATAAGGCCCTGTGCAGGGAAAGCACTGAGTTTCTGAGCATAGCCACAGGGAGGAGCAGGAATTCACAGCAGCATCAGATCAGAGTGGAGCCGCTGTCTTCTGCACTCAGGGAGGAAAAACCAGGCTCAGGAACTTATGCATCAGTTTATGCACCAATCACAATAGAACAAAATAAGGTCTGTCAGTCCCAGCACTTAGATAAAACTGGTTGTAGGGTGTCATGAAAATGTTGCAAAGCAGCCATTGGTTAAGTATAAGAATGCAGAACTTCTAAAAATCTGCTACTTGAAAAATCACAGAAACCAGCAGAAATTGTTTCTGTGTAGGTCCAAGCTCAAGTTTGCCATTCTGTCTCAGTAGGATATACCCTGTCTTTCATGCACTTGAGATATGAGAGCAATGATCTCTATTTCATTTAGCAAAACACAAAGAGTAATTTACCTTTTCTAAGTTACACAGAAATTACCAGGCAGGCACACACCTTTAACTTTTCTTGGGCTTCCTCTCCTGCCAGGAGAGGGAAACATAGCTCAGTTTGTCTCCAACAAGCCCTGGACTCAAGGACCGGCAGCGGAGGACCCTCCACCTGGAACTCAGAGACAGCACATGCTCACCAGAAGGTTTAGATACTACCCAGGTGCCCTTTGATACTCGTCTGCCAGTCAGAGGCTCCTTGGTGATGCTGCATCCCCACCACGGTCCTGGGTCCTGGATCCTGGAATTCATTCCCTTCTTCACTAGAAGCAAATACGCGTTTCTCCCATTTGATGCACCACCCTCGCCTCTTGCTGCCATTCAGTTGGGTTTGAGCCTCCTACATGACTTTTATCACACCTAGACGCATGTAGAGATGTCTTTGGCATCCTACAGGTCTCAGTGCCGCTAGATACCTGGATGTGGGAAGCCAAATCCTGCCCACGCCCAGGGAGCTTGCCAGCAGCCGCCTGGGAAGCAGTGACTGCAGGAGAGCATAGCAAACACCAGATGCCACTGTTCCCTTAGCCATGCAGCAGGATGCTGTTGGAAATCTTGTTTACAATGCAGGGGAAATTTCTCCAACCTTTTCTTGCATGCATCAAGTCTCTCAAGCCTGCAAGAACTGGTCTTCTGTTAAAGGTTGGGGTTTAGAAATTTAATAATGACTCTGGCGCTTTGGGGGACATAGAGCTGAGCCTGTCTCCCTTTCAAAGGGTGCAGGGCTGGGGCCAGGGCCTCTGCTCCTGCTTAGAAGTGGCACTTGGCCTGAGGCTGGCTGCTGCAGGAATTAGCATGCCCACTATGAACATTTATTTTTCTAAGTAGAGGCTGACTTTGGCATCCCTTCCTTCACCAGGAAAGAAAAATACCAAGAAGTCTTTCAAATGAGCGATGTGAGAGGGTTTAAAGTATACCTAGGTTCACTTGACTTTCAGATACTTTTTTCTTTGTTTTGTTTTCAACTTGACTTTGTATTTAACTAATATTTCAACTAGAAAGAAAGGAAGGGGAAAAAGAGAGGACATTTCTTCTTCCATGCATAAACTATAGACATGTGCCACTTGGGTTTCCTTTCATAGAACAGCAGAATGGTTTGGGTTGGATGGAACCTTAAAGACCATCTCATTCTACCCCCTGCCACGGGCAGGGACACCTTCCACTAGCCCAGGCTGCTCAGAGATCCACCCACCCTGGCCTTGAACACTTCCAGGGACGGGGCAGCCACAGCTTCTCTGGGCAACCTGTGCCAGTGCCTCAGCACCTTCACGGGGAAGGATTTATTCCTAATATCCAATCTAAACCCACTCCCTTTCAGTTTTCCTTAAGCCACAGTAGAAGACAGAACTAGCACAGTTCATGGAATAACTTGACCCAGAGAATCCCTGGGTATAAATCAGGTGACCTTATTTGAAACAAAATCTTTTGATGTATATATACCAACTGATGGTGTGATCTTTGTCTTCCACTAGCACCCATTTGGTTATTTTGCTGTTGAGCAAACCTGGAAATACATTTTTGCTTAATAGTTGACCAATATATTGTCTCAACAGTGGCTGAGTGAAGTATTTGAGTTTTTTTGTGTCATAGGGAGCAACAGTGTAGAGCTCCCTTCCTCTAAACTAAAGCTAGGAATTACATATATTGCAATCACCATCTGTAATAGAGACCATGAAAATCTTTTCCTCTAGAGGAAAGTTTTAGAGGAAAAAAATCACTTTACAGACTGTCTTGCCTGTGCATGTGCAAACGTGGTTTCTTCTTTGTATTCCAAGTTTTCCTAGGACATACATCATGAATTTGGCAGGCTGAGACAGAAAAATTGTGGTGGAAGTTTAGCTATAAGCTGTAAGATAGGCAGAAGGTGGCAGTGCAGGTGTTTGGTAAAGGCTGGAGCAGCAGCAGGCAAAGGAGATGGGATGCAGTGGCCTGGAAGGAAACTGGCTTATCCATTTTCCTTGCTATGGATGTAAATCACACCCTAAGTTCCGACAAATAATGAGAATGGACACGGGAAAGAAAACTGTCATCTTCTAAATTTCAGCTATAGCCGAAATTACCATTTCAAACCACTCAGTTTCAATCATTTCTCATGTTAGAAATTCCAACACTTACATACTCTTCCTGGAGGGAAAGCATGTACTTTTCTAATCTAATGAGGATCAGTAACATTGAGTGACTTACCACAAAATAGCTCTCCAAAAGCTTTTCTTTGAAGACAAGCAATCATTTTTGTATGGGGAGTCCTTGTTAAGCAAGTTATGGATTATCAGAAACATTTCTTTGCCTTACAACTCACAGACCTTGCAGACACATCCAGAGGGAAGCTGTCCTTGCACAAGGGAGACCATGAAGAAATCTGTTCTGAAAAAGGCCCTAAGAAAAGACTTGCACAGCCAGAAGCTTGTCTGTTTTGTCTGTCTTGTTTGGTCTAATGGAACCTGCCAAGTCTCCATATAAGCCTTATCCTTGCTCTTAAGGAGAACAGTCATTTTTCAAAGTGATAATAGATTTGGGTAGCTATGTTGTCTTACTTGGATCAGGAAAATGAGACACCATGGAGCTGTGGGCACCCTTCACATGATGAGATCCCAGCAGCATTAACGTAAACAGATTTAGGCAGTCAGGGTGGCAA